ATTCACGGGGAGATTTTGCAAGAGTTTCACTAGAGAAAGTTGACAACAATGGTACAAAGAAGTTGGCATGGCAAGACTACATCAGAGCTAGCATTCAGGTCAGACGACTGGCAGCGCAGCACGGTCGACCGCGTTCCAGCACGACTTGGTCGACCGCGCTCCAGCAGTGCAAAGTCGACGGCCTGCCAATGTCGCAAGTTGACGGCGTGCCAGCATTTCTCCCGCAGAACAGCAGCGCACCCGCTTCGCAGGTGCTTGCAGATGATTGGCGGGCTGAGCCTCGTCACCTGCACAACGCACACGTCAAGTCATCCTCGTGTTGACGACTCCACCTAATCCGCCATGTCGGCCTCGGGATACCACCACCGAGGTCAGACTCGCCAACTTCGCCTGGGCGACCGTCGCACTCCTCCGCAGAACCTCGTCACCCAGGCTCCCGTATGTGCCCGTCGATCGGGCAACCACGTCAACCAGATGCTCCCGTATGTGCCCGTCGACCTCCCAAGTCGACGACCACCCCAAGTCGACCTCACCAGGTCGACCACGCCCCTGGTCGACCAACTCCAGGTCGACGTCATTTTTGGTCGACCAGCTCCACGTCGACCAGCACTCCTGGTCGACCAGCTCCATGTCGACCAGCACAGTTGTCAACCGACCACCCAAGTTGGCTACTTGAAGTCGACGTCACCAAGTTGACGCCTAGCTACTGGACGCCGAACTGCTCGGCGTCCTGAGTCGAGGTCGACATCGGCCCCTCCTTCGTCAACCACCAGGTCAGGTCGACCACCAACAAGTCGACCAACAGGTTAAGTCAACCAACCACCAGGTCGACCCGCAGTCCTGTTAGCCAACCACCCAAGTCGGCTGCTCCAAGTTGACGTCCTTCGCAGGTCGACATCTCTGAAGTCGGCGCCACCCTGAAGTCGGCGCCCGTGCAGTGGCCCCCGTGCAGGTCGACCTCCTCGTCAACCAGCTCGCCCACTGCTGCAGGTCGGCTGCTCCCCTCACACCCGACCATGAAATCGGCTCCGCCCAAGCGAGGACGGGGCCAACACACAACTCCCACTGACATTCTCAAGGACGTCACAGCCAAGGGCAAGCTCACCCCTGACGGACGGAGGACAGGAGCATTAGAAAACAAGACTCGCAGCATAGTCAAGGCGGCACAAAGCAGCAAAGTCAACAAGCTCAGCAACTTAGGCAGATGTGGCAACAGACTCAAAGGAAGGGGCAGTCACAACCGTAGCAAGGAGACGAGTGGCAGTCAGATTGACAGCACAAACACGACCAGACTCAAGGTAAGGAACGTGCGGAAGAGAGGACACAGGAGGTGACGGCAGGACAACACGCTGTGGAGAAGAGGAAGGACGAAGTGCCATGGTGTGCGTGCTTGGGACAGGTGGAGGACAAGGACGGGCAACCAGATGAGTACGGACACGCGTGACATGACACAACTTAGGCTCTCTACTCTCAGCAAGAGACTCTGTGACCGCTGTGTACGGAAGAGGAGCAGGGAGTGGGGAGCCAAGCAATAATGTTAGAATAGCGAACAGGAATGAATGCATTGAGAAGAAAGGTGGTACAAGTACTAACCCTAATTGGGTTGTACCCCTCATGGGCTACCCGACTATAGCCTACACAACCTAATCATGATAATAGTTTGACACACCTCCATAGGCAAATTGGGGGAGAATAAGGGGTCATAAGACAAGTCAAGAAAAGCAAAGCAAGCTCAGGGTGGATCACAAAGTCACCACACACTCTGATCACAAGCAAATGGTCACAAGGCCAGTCCACATGCAGAGGTATATAAATGAGAACAAGCAACACAGTGATCAAAACATAGCAAGAGTAAGCATGCAAGTATATAGATATATATAGATCAAAGTACAAGCAAAGCATGCAGAAGGCCTAAAGCATTACATAAACGCTGATGATCACCAGATTGAAGTGCCTTGGTGAATATATCAGTAGTGTTGGCCCAAGTGGCCACGTAAACAAGACGAAGCTGACCACGCTACTCCAACTTTCGAGCAAGGAAGTAACGCAGAGCGATGTGCTTCGTCCTGTGCTCTAGTCTATGCTCTTGACACAAGGCAATCATGGCCTTGTTGTCTACGTACAGAAGTGGAGGAGAAACGGGCCCCTCTCCCAAGCCAGTTATTAGGTAGGTGAGCCAGCATAACTCCTGTGCAGCCATGGCCCCTGCATAGATCTCAGCCTCACAACTAGAGCTGAGAACAGAGGACGAGTGGGTATACCGCCAAGAAACGGAGCCGGAGCTAAGGCTGAAGGTGTAACTCTATGACGACCGCTGCGTAGCCAAGTCGTCAACCCAAGACGCGTCTGCATGTCAGTGAGGACAACTGGACCCTGTCATCCAAGCACGAGCCCCATGCCAGATGCACTACACAAGTAGCGCAACACCCTCTTAGCGGCCTCCTAGTGCTCTGGTCGGTGTCTCCCGTGCGCAACGTAGCGTGCCAGGATGCTAAGAGGGTAGGCAAGGTCAGCTCAAGTGCAGGTCATCAGGTACATGAGGTAGTCCACAAGCTCTGGATACGGGCCACTCGGCTCTACAGACTCGTCCGAAGGTGGAGCTGAGAGCGAGTGACCGGTAGGCAGAGGAATGGAATGTGGCGAGGAGAACCGCAAGCTGAAGCGCTGAAGCACCTGGTGCACCATGTGTGACTAAGTCAGGGTGATGGTGCGCCGTGCTCTATCCCGGGTGATCTGCAAGCCAAGATAGTTGTGTAGCTCACCCAGGTCTGTCCACGTGTGTCTCTTTTGGAGCTCCGACTTCACAAGGGCCAGTGCATTAGTGTCAGCAGTGGCAAAAACCAAGTCGTCGACATACACGAGGATATAAAACGGCGTCAGCGTGTCGGTGCACAGATTCAGTGACGGGTCAGCAGTCAAAGGAGCAAACCCAAGCGCCACAAGTGTCATCTGCAGTGTGTCGTGCCACTCACGAGGCGCTTGGTGGAGACCGTAGACTAGCCGCCGGAGGCTCCACTGAGTACCTGCAGGAAACGACCAAGTGAATCCAGGTGGGCGGCGCAGCCAGATCTCCTCGTGCAGGTTGCCCTGTAAGAAAGTTGTGCTTAAGTCAAGAGAGTGGAGCTCGTAGTCACACTGAGCAGCAACGTGCAGCAACACCTGAAGAGCGGTCATCTTCGGGATAGGGGAGGAGGTCTGGAAGAAGTCAACTCCCTGTCGCTGACTAAAGCCTTGTGCAACGTAACGAGCCTTTAAGACAGGTGGAGAACCCGGCGGATGCTTCACCCTAAAAATCCACATGCCATCGACTATGTTCGCCTCAGGAGGGGGAACTGCATCGACTTAAGTGCCTGTGGACTTTTAGGATGCCATCTCTGCGTCCATGGCTGTCTGCCACTGAGAGGAGTAGGGACCCGTAATCGCCTCTGCCTAAGAGCGCGGGGTCGGGATGTCTGGAGCATCCGGGTCTCCCTCAGATGCAAGCGGAATTAACACGAGATGCATGCGGAACACCGACGCATCGCCAACCTCCTCCGTCCAACGCAGTGTAGGAGAGGTCTCCGTCAAGGAGACACGGGGCCAGAGGTTGAACTGATGCGCAGCGTACCGGACCGCAAACGGCCACAGAAAATGGGGAGCAGCCGTATGGATCATGGAGGTACAAGCGACCTCCATGATTAAGCCAATGCGGCGCTCAGCAACCCCATTTTGCTGCGGAGAGGCCGGAAGCGTGAACGAATGACGGATGCCCTCCCCACGACAAAAGTCTCGCAAGAGGTCGGAGGCAAACTCACCACCTCTGTCAGAGTGCAGACGCAGGACAGGAAGGTCCTCACGGAACCGCTCGCTTAGCTCGAGACGGACAGTGCGGATTCAAGGGATCAAAACATCAGGGTCCTCCCCTTGCTGCGCAAGGGGAAGACCGTGGTGTAACGTGAATAGTCGTCAACAACCAGCAGAAAGTAGCGCTCGTGGCCCGGTCCATGGACGCGAGCTGGGCCTCACGCGTCCATGTGGAGAGTCTGCAGGGGAGAAGTCGTCGGGGGAAACGAGGAGGAGTGAGGAGTGGCGTGCTGCCCCCCGTCGACACAAGGAAGGTAGGGAGGAGCAGGCGAGGGTGGGAGGGGAGGCAGAGACCTTGGAAGACCAGAGACAAGGAGGCAGGAGTGCATGCCACGGAGGCGTGGTAGGGAGGGGTGAACAAGCCGATGGTGCCAAAGGAGAGTCTGGTGCGATAGGAGGGGACACAAGAAAGGGGCTGCTACTGGACCTGACGGGGACACCTGACCAGACGCAGCTACCTGAGGAGGCTCAGTAGTCCGTATGTACAGGCTCGACCTAGGCCGACGGGTGAACGTGGCCACGTGACGGCCCGTCCGTGTACACGTGCAGATCGACACATGCTGACCCCTTGGAGTGGTGATAGTGACCATCGCATCGTGGAGGGCAGCGGTGCTCACCAAGTTCGTTGAGAACAATGAGAGGTGAAGACCTGAGAGTGAGCCGGACGGAACCGCCGGACACGGGAGAACAGTGGAGGAGCGTGCAAGAACTGGGCCCCCTCAGGGGCCAGCTAGTCTGATTGCAAGAGGTGGAGGGTGTGGTGTGACTGTAGTACTGGCACGAAAGAAACATCGGGAAGCACCTGAGTCAAGCGTAAAGGTGTGCAAGGCCTCAGCAGGCGCAGTACCAAGGAGAGAAGACTCACTAGCACCTAGACAGCCTCTATACCTGGGTCGGGCAGCACACACAGGTAACAGTCACCCTCCGCACTAACAGTCAACGCATACATGGCAGCAAGGATAGCATCATAGTCAAGAGCAAAGATATCCACACCCTGCGTAAGCAGCTCTAGCCAGCGGAGGAGCTAATTTGCGTCGGAAAACTCTGTGCGCCAAGCGTCGTCTAGACGGGAGAAGCTGCGGGACTGTGTGTGACCAACCTTCCCGCAGGTCTGACCAGCGCGGTCACCTGTGCGAATGGCGTACTAGCAGCGAACACTACCCCAGACGCCTCACGCTGAGCAAACCTCTCACAAAGCTCTTGGGGCGTAAGGGTCTATGCGGACGCTGCTGCTGCTGCCTCTGGCCACCGCCAGTACCTCCCCTCTGACCGGTTCCACCCCGACCGCCACCATTGCTGCCGCCGCCACTCCCACTGCCACCATCAGTACCGCCACCACCACTCCCACTGCCGCCACCACCGCCGCCACCAACACCTCCACTCCCACCACCACTCCCTCCGCCACCTCCACCGCCTCCACCGCCTCCACCACCGCCTCCACTGCTGCCATCCCCACCACCCTTGCCTCCTTTGCCCTTGCCACTGCGGCGCTTCCCACTAGGAGCAGACGCAGCCCCGACCTCCTCAGCACCAAGGAAGTCAACAGCAGCAGCAGAAGAAGGGAGTGCGAGGAGTGCCACGAGCAGTACCTACAGCGACTACGCTAGCTTCACTTGCAAGGAGGTGCTTCTCGAGCAGGTCGACAGTGAGGTCTGTGGGGTCCATGGCAAGAAAGGGGTCCTTGACTACGCTAAGCGAGTCAAGGAGGCGGATGACGATGAAGTAGAGAGTGATGTACATGGGGGAAGGGTTCTTGTCTAGAAACTTGGCTGGAAGCCCGGCGCGATAGCGAGTGTCGCTAGTGCGAAGGTGGGTAATGAGGTTATCGACTGTGGCAAAGGCGGAAAGCTCGAGAAAAAGGTAGGGCAGTATAAGGCGGCCGAGAGCAGCAGTGGCAGGGGAGGAGTAACGAGCGACCACAACGGCATACAGGGCTTTAGCAGTCTTGTGCTGGCCAAAATGAGCACGTTTGGCTAACGGTAAGTGGTTGCAAACAGCTAGGCGAGCAGCAGCGTCACGGGTAAGCCACTGTGAGCGAGTCGCATCGCCAGCTGTGTCGGGAGGGGCGAGAGAGGCTCCAAACATGTGGTCAAACAACGAAACACCGTCTCTAGAATCACTTAGTTGGTACAGCTGTAAGTCATCAAGCCACGTATCGAACTAGATCGAACGGCCCTCGGGATCGAATGTGAGAACGCTGAGAGTAGTCATAGCTGGCAGAGCAGGTTGGCGCACGAGCAGCAGGGTAGCACGCAAGCAAGGACGGCGCGACGGGCAGGGCGACGCGCAAGCGCTAGGGAAACGCGCAGGGCAGGGCGGGGCAGCGCACGGCTAGGGCAGGGCGGCGCAACTAGCAGGGCAGGGCGGCAGCCAGCAAGGTGGGGCGCGGTCACGGCAGGGCAGGGCGGCGGCCATCAGGGCAGCACGTGGGCAGGGTTGGGCAAGGTGGCACGCGGGCAGGGTAGGGCAGGGCGGCGGCCAGCAGGGCGGCTCGCGGGCAAGGCAGGGCGGTGCTGCGGCCAGCAGGGCGGTGCGCAGGCAGGGCAGGGCAATGCAGCGGCCAGCAGGGCGGCGCTGCGCTAGCAGGGCAACGCTACGGGCAAGGGAGGGCGGCGCGCGACCAGCAGGGCGACGCGCGGCAGGGCAGGGAGGCGCGGCGGGTAGGGCAGAGCAGCGCGCAACCAGCAAGGCTGCGCGCGGGCAAAAAAGGGCGGTGCGCGGGCAGGGCAGGGCAGCACGTAGCGAGCAACGCAACGCGATGGTGGGGTAGGGCACTACGGGCAGCGAAATATACGGTGGGTCCTAAAGAAAAACGGTCCTGGGACTGGACCTGCTCTGATTCCATGTCAGAATAGTGAACAGGAATGAATGCATTGAGAAGAAAGGTGGTACAAGTACTCACCTTAATTGGGTTGTACCCCTTATGGGCTACCCCACTACAACCTAACCATGATAATAGTGTGACAAGTAACTGTGGGTGAGACTAGTCATTCGGTGGGAATAGTAATGGAGTAGTACCAGCAACCGGGAACTCAGTAGCAGGAGGCGGAAGACTGAGAAGGTGACGAAGCGCAGACGGCTGCGGCTGAGTAGTTGCACCCCCAGAACCTCGAGCCCCAGTAGGAACAGCACCCCCAGAACCAGCACCTCCAGCTCCACCACCGGGACTGCCCCAACGGACAGCCCACTCGCGAAGCTACTGCGGCGAGAGCGACTCTTGCCGACCAGCACCACCAACTCGAGTACCTCCAGTAGCACCTCCAGTATCAGCACCTCCTGTACCTCCAACTCCAGTAACAACAACACTAGCACCTACGGGGCCAGCATTTCTAGTACCTCCAGTAGCACCTGTGCCTTTAGCACTAGTACCTCCAGCACTGCCAACTCCAGGAACACCAGCACTAGCACCTCCAGGGCCAATACCTCTAGTACGTGCAGCTCCAGCACGTCCAGCGCCGCCACCAGGACTGCCCCAACGGACAGCCCACTCGCGAAGCCACTCCGGCAAGAGAGTCGCCTATTGACGTGTACCAGCACCTCCAGCACCCCCTGCACCCGTAGGACTCGCATCACCCTCAGAGCCAGCACCCCCAGAGTCCGCACCCCCAGTGTCACCATCTCTAGCAGCACCAGAGTCCACAGCGACGGGCTGCAGAGGTGGTGAAGATGGTCGAGGCAGAGAACCAGGAGGGACCGCCAAGCGCGCGAAGCGGCGAGGGTCACGGTGTCGGCAGCAGCCTGGTCACCCCCCTCAGCTAGGCCAGAGGTGTATGAGGAGACCTCCAAAGGCTCAACCAAGCGGGGTGGGTCTACCTGAGACACACCTGAGGGAGCGGGACCAAGAGGAGGGAGGGGGGCTACTTGGGGGGGGGGGGAGGTCGTCAAAGGTGACGTCGGTGATGGACTGCGGTGGGGGTGAAGACAGTAGAAGCAGACGGACTCGTCAAAGGTGACGTCGCGGGAGGACAGCACACGGCGAGAGCCCAGGTGGTAAAACTGCCAAGGCGATGCGTCGGTGGGAAAGCCAAGGAACACGCAACGAAGAGTGCGTAGAGAGAGCTTGCTCGCGGGCAAATTGCAGACAAGAGAGAGGGAGCCCTAGACTCGAAACGCTGACGCATCACCAGCCTCGCCCGTCCACCGTAAAGTAGGGGAGGTTTTCGAGTGGGAGACATGGGGCCAGGGTTGAGCTGCGCAGCGGCGTATCGGACCGCAAACGGCCACAGAAAATGGGGAGCGGCCGCATGGATCATGGTGCGAGCAACCTCCAGGACGAGATCAATGCGGTGCTCGGCAATCCCATTCTGCTGTGGATGGGCCGGAAGCGTGTACGATTGGACAATGCCCTCAGCACCACAGAAGCCTTTGAGGAGGCGGGAGAAAAACTCACCACCTCGGTCAGAGTGCAGCCACAAGACTGGGAGGTCCTGGCGGAAACGAGCGCTGACCTGGAGACGGACTGCGCCTAGCGCTAAGACGAGCCGCTGCACCGCTGGCAGGTCTCTCGTAAACGCATGCAGCCACGACCGTGCCTAGCACTAAGACGAGCCGCTGCCCTTCGACATGGTCGGACATATCGGCGTCACAAGCCTCACGCAGGAGCGCCTGGACTAATTGCAGCAGCTGCACGAAAGCACTGAGGAAATTGTGGTGCTGACGGGAGAGCGTACGTCACTGCAAAATGATGTTGCACGGGTGTAACAAGCACTATTGCAAACACAAGGCACACAAGCACAAGGAGCACATCAAGCATCCCAGCACGGAAGTGTGGGACAACCCTCGTTCGCGGCTAGTGATGGCGTCGCCCGCAACGACGGGGGCGACGACTATGGCACGACACACCCTGGAGTGATGAATGCGGCCAGGAGTCAGCCATGCATAACGATTTCGGTGCCGAAGGACGAGTCAACACTGTCGTCGTCGATGTCGCTCAAGCCGTATCGTCCGCCTTGCCTTGATCTGAGCCAACGGGGTGGTCCAACTGTTCAGGCATGGTTATTCACGACGAACGTCTTCTTCGACGCCAACTACCTCTCGGTGGATGCGGCGAAAAATTTGATACACCGTGTCGCTGATGCGAGGACCCGCCATAGATTGGTGGCGCGTCATCGTCACGAAGCCGACGGACTACGAGGCCCTACCGTTAGAGAAGGACAACCCGGACCCTGGGCGCCGTCGTATTTTGTGGAGGTAGCCTAGTATCACGCGTGGGATGTGTGGTGCGCAAGTCTGCGCGCGCGATTCGAGCCAATCGTGGCTTCGGTTGTGGCACGACAGTGGCTCCGCACTTGGCGCCTGCTCGGTTCCATCCAGGACTACACTAGCAAGTTTCTGGCGCTATGCGAGAAGGTGGGATACATGCATTAGGTGGAACGCATCGACTGCTACGTCGGCGGCTTGAAAAGCGATATCGCCCAGGCGATCCTGCTATGCAACATTATTGGATTTAACGAGGTTCTCGCTATGGCGGAGAAGCTCGGTTTTCTTCGCCGACCGAGACCGGGGTCCTATGGCAACAACAGCAGTTGGGGACATTGGACTCGTGGGACGAACGAGCACGCAACGATACGCGCCGTCGTCGCGAATGCCACTGCCGCACCATTCAATGGGCGCTGCTTTGCTTGCAATAGGTGGGGGCACCGTAAGAGCGAATGCCCGGAAAACGCTAAGGGAAAGGGGGAAGCTGAGTAGCAGAAACAGACCAAGCAGCAGGAATACGCTGGTCGGTAGTCGACAGGGCCTCTACTGACAGGTCACGCTGCTCGCCCGACCCAACCGACCCTCACCAAGTGATTGTGCCAGTTCACGCAATCGACCATACCAGGCCGAACATGGAGGGTACAACGGTAGACAGTCCCATACTGCACAGCGGGAAAATACAGACGGACTTAGTTAAAATCTTTGTAGTGTTAGCGTGATCAACACCCGCAACTGCATGGAGACTGAAACTGACACTGGACCGATGCTTACCTGAGATAGACGCACGACTGGTCGACTGCACGCCACTTGGGATACGTGAACACGTGGACCAAGTTCGCATCCGATGCGGGGGTAACTTCACATTCACCCAGGAAATGCTAGCGGCGACCCTCGACGGGACAGATATTTTACTCGACCGTGATTAGTTGCGACGACACAACCCACGAATCGATTGGACGACGGGTGACTGCACCGTGCGAGTGAACAATAACAACATCGCCCTACCTCGCTGGAGTTCGCCTAAGCCTTCGTCAGTGCGTGTCAACGCAATCATGATGAAATGCGCCGTAGCGGCAGGAGCTGTCGTGTGTGCGGTTGACATTCGGGAAGTCGAAGCATCAGGCAAGCCAAGGGATTTGCAGAAACGGCTCGCCAATGTACCGGATGTGCTACTAAAGCAGTACAACGGGATTTTTCTGGATGATTTGCCAGAGGAATTGCCACCTGATCGACCACATGACCCGAGGATATGGAACCGACGGCACAGCTGATAGTACAGCGACAGTTCCGGCTGACTCAACCCAAACTGAATGAACTGCGGAAGCAGCTGGATTACCTGCTCGAGAAGAAATTCATTAGCCCAGTTCGTCGCCCTTCGCCGCACAGATATTGTTCACACCGATAGAACACGGGAGCTTTCGCATGTGCATAGATTACCGTGCACTGAACAGAGCTACCATCAAGTCCCATTACCCCATCCCGCGAGCCGACGAACTAATAAACCAACTTCGCACAACACGAGTCTTCTCGAAAATCGACCTTTGAGAAGGTTACCACCAGATCCGATTCAACGCGCCCGTCTGCCCGGAAACCGCCTTGTGCACCGGCTACGGATCATTCGAATACACCGTCATGCCCTTTGGACTGACCAACGCTTTTGCCACATTCCAAATGACCATGAACGAAGCCTTCCGCCCGCTCTTAGATAAGTGTGTAATTGTCTACTTAAACGACGTAGTGATCTACTGCCCGGACCGAGCACAGCACCAACAGGTAATCGAAGCAATTTTAAAAATACTGAGTAAGAACCATGAGCTGGGTGTTGGCCCCGTCCTCGCTGGGGCGGAGCCGACTTCCGTAGTTGGGTGTGCGCGATGTGCATCCGA